AACTTTTGAGTTAGGCGACTTTATCGTTCGGCAGCTGTTTTACAGTTTTGCGGCTACTTTTGAAAGATTACGGTCTTTCTTAGAATTTTATTGTTCGGCGACTCCTTTGGAAGGTCACTTCAAATCATTTTATTGAACAACGCTTTTTGATCAGCGGCAACACGTCATATGACGGTGCGTTCTATTAACTATATATAGACAACATACATAGTAATAACACTTAACTAAACAAAATGATAACAAAATACTAGATTTGAACTCGTCACTGAGGAGGAGTTTGGTGATCCGCAGTACTTTGACCCTCATGAAGCGCGCGCAGTGCTGATTGAAACGTTTCATAATATGCTAAAATATGCTGTAATTACTTTTTTTTAAAAGAATAATTGTGAACATTTTAAAAGATTTCCGCATGCGTACACACACGTCTTTACGCCCGTGAGCACGATAATGTCACAAAGAGTGACTCCTGACAGTGTCAGGAACACAAAATATGTAACAACGCGTAATTTCCAGCTTTAGTATGTGCTGTGTGCGTGGAAATGAACGTACGGCGGGTAAATTATGGAAAGTTTTGAAACGCTGAAAATGACCCAAAACGTTCTTTAAACTATCTGAATAGTAATATGGAGAATTTTCAAATTTGAACAGACACGCACGCCACCATGTGTGCGTGTACAGTAATAGCACACGAAATTAAACATTGTCAAGTGTATTTAAAACCGCCTGTTAGTTGGTAATGCCACACGAACTTTCCCTTCATATAACCTATATATATTAGTCTGATAGCGTCGAAATACAGTCTGCCGCCCTCAATCTGTTCTATTATTTTTACATCTTTTAAGAATGAGAGATAAAAGGGCTCCAAAAATTCATTCTTTTTGACCATGCTGACGTGATCAAAATGAAAAATATAGGGACACGTCTTAAAGAGAATTGATTTAGCTATAACATACTCACAGGTGGGAGACAATCAATCAAGAATAAGCGAGATACGTTCAAACGAGTATAAACATAATGGCATCATAAATAAAAATTCAGTTTTTTATTTCAAATGGCAATATGATGACGTCACAATGTCCGATCAGCCATTATGAAGTAAAAAATCGTATCTACAACTCATGTGCTTTCAGATTATGTAATAAAAATTGGGGGTCACCTTTTATCCTAAGGCGCTATAATTGATTAAAAATATTCATGGTTTTATGCATATATAAATGTTGACGCACGCGTACGTGCACGCTAAAAAGCACGAACGGAAAAATTAAGGTACATAACATTCAACCTTGACCTGAAGCTTATGCTCACCTAATATGATTTAGAAATGATGAATGGTTAAGATTATATGGGCTCATCAACGTTTTAAAGAAAGAGAAATAAGGGGATCAGAAAAAAACAATTTTTTGACCATGATGACGTCATCAAAATGTAAAAAAAAGTTAAATATATGAAAGAGAATTGTCTCTCCTATAACATACTCAAAGTTGGAAGACGATCGATCAAGGATAAGCGAGATACGCTCAAATGCGTATTTTCAAAAATGACGTCATAGCTATAATTCACTTTCTTTGAATTCAGATGCCAATATGATGACGTCACAATGTCCGATCAGCCATTATGATCTATAAAATCATATTTACAACTAATGTGCTTTCAGAAAAAGTAATAAAAATTGAGGGTCACCTTTCATCCTGAGGAAATATAACTGATTAAAAAAAGGTACAATTTTGACTCATTTTGACTGAAAATTGACAAAAAAGCGCAAATGCACACGTATCTTAGATGTGCGCGTACTGCACTATTATTAGACTTAAAATTACTGAAAAAAATGCAAATATGTCATTACAGTGTAAGAAACTCAAAATATGCCAAAAATTGTAATTTGAGTCGTCTGCACGGGCTGCGCGCGCGAAAATGCGCGCGCGAGCCAAAAATTTTTTTGAAAAGTTTAAATGCTCAGAATCACCTAAAACGTACACAAATTTAGTCAAAACGTGATTTTGAGCAAATTTAATATTTAGCGCACGCGTACGTGCGCGTAATGAGCTGCAATTCGGACAACACTGTACATATGGATAGTACTTGACATGAAAATTACTTGTGTCATGTTTCAATTAAAAAGTCCTTACAGTGATGAATTTATGACCAATCAAACATTTTGCTACGTAAAACGCAAAATTGCGCGTAGATCACGTCACGCGTGACTGATCACGCTGAAAAGCTTATTGTATCGATTCCACCATAAAACTAATTATTGTTGAAAATATCATGTTGATTGGTTAAAGCAATCTTGAGATATCGTGGTCACAAAATTGGGGAGAAAGAAAGAAGAAAAAGACTAGATTTGAACTCGTCACTGAGGACGAGTTAGGTGATCCGCCGCACTTTGACCCACGAGGAAGTGTGCGCGTGGCGGATTAAACAATAATTAAATGCTGATAATGGCAAAATACGTTAATTTAGTTTGTTAAAAAAGAATTTTGAGCATTTTAAAAGATTTACTCATGCGCATGCGCACGTCATGACGCACGTGCGCATCTTAATGTCACTGTTGTATTTTGATATGAGATATATATGTATCAACTTTCATTGACAAACGCCTATTGGTGAAGGAGTAATGATCATTCATAGTATTTATCATATAAAAATTCAGTTTTTTTTACTTCAGGATGGCAATATGGTGACGTCACAATGTCCGATCAGCTATTGTGATATATAAAATCATATCTACAACTCATGCGCTTTTAGAATATGTAATAACAATTGGGGGTCACCTTTCATTCTAAGGAGCTATATTTGATTTTAAATAGGCATAATTATTAGCATATGTAA